CTTTGCAAAATTAATTAAAATGTCATTACATTCGAAGGCAATTAAAGTTATGCAATAAAGTTTTTACAGTCAAATCACTCAAGTTTTTATGCATTAAAGTTCAATGTCAATTCACTTCTTATCATGCCGAATCATTGTTAAAGTAAAAAAAAAAACAATACTAGTCACTAGAGTACTTACATTTAAATTTTCATACGTTAAAATACTTAATTAATTTACTTCAAAAATCTCTAGAGCTCGCACATAATGTTGAATAACTAAATGTTGTTTCTTTCACAATTTTTTCCGTTACTTTTTCAAAGATTCAATTAAATGCGTTTTCCCGAGGCAACAAAATAAAATATACTCTTCGCGAATTTTATCCGCACTGACTCATTAGGTACTGTAGACTTAAAACTGAACTGGACTGCAGACTAAGACTGAACTGACTAACAATTGATCCTCTACTTCTAAAACCGCCTGTATTTATATTATTCGATCCCGCCAAAATTCCTATCCATCATTCATTAACCTTCCTTTTCTATTTGTTTAAAATCGAATAATTATGTCGCAATTTCCTGGTTTATCGGGGTCAACAGATTTCATATGAGAATGTAAGGACATATAACTCAAAGAAAACCGACACACGTATCGACGTCTCGGCCATAAATCACCGATTTAATTACTTTGGCCTCGCTTTTAATATTCTTATGGATTTGATTTATTTAGATGATGACTAAATAATAAGAAATTAATCGTTTTTAGATATTTTAATTAATTTGGGTCAATTTTTATTAGTTTCATTTTCAATTCATTGATACTGATGTTAATTATTAGAGATTCAGTTTTTGATTATTTGTTTACATTTAATGTTTTTACAGTAAAGACATTGTAAATTACGGGTCTATTACCTGTTTCACCTTGGCAGGTTGTCAGGACCTCTGTTTCACCTTGTCAGGTAGTCCAGGTAGGCAATAAAGTAGCATTTTATTGGTCAATCGGACATAATAGTTATTTATGTATCAAGGGTACTAAGTAGATGATTATGCCCTGAGGGCGACAGTCTTACAAAGCCGAGGGCCTCTGGCCCGAGGGTTCGTAAGTCGCCCGAGGGTATATAAATCTATTAGTACCCGTGGTGCATACAAACTTTTATGTCATACCAGTTGGTTGTGAATAATAAATACCTGGGAAAAAAGTGTCACTTCGCAAATTGTCATCAGTGTGCAGAATCATCATTTTTTGACAAAAATAATATGTTTATAAGCGTAAATTTATATTTTGTTGATAAAGAATAAGTTAATTGAAAACTGTTTTTTGCGTCTTTATGCCCGCGCGGGCCATAATGTGTACTTTATGCCCGCACGGGCATAAAGTAATGAATTATGTAGATGGTATCTAAGGTATAAAAAGACAATAATGTATTGGTATGTTTTAAAGTTATAAACATAACTTACCAATATACTAATCTAAAGTACTAAATATTATATAAATTTTCATATTAATTTAATAACTATAGGTTGTCTTATAACTAATAACGTCCAACATTGTGAAAATTAAGTTATGTGAGTCCGTGAGAACTGTTGTTTAAATTGTTTAGGTGTAGTGAAGAATTCTAGATTGGTATTTTGATTTGCTATAGTCATAGTTCGTGGGAGAAATGAGTATTTACTATAGTTTGTGCGGTAAAAAGGAATATGGAAAGTTTATCGATTTCTTATATGCTCCAATGACGAACATGAAGGTTGACCATGCTTGTTAGATGGGCACAATCCACTTTGGAGTTACTTAATTAAAAATGCAAAGATTCCCCGAGACTTTTCCTAGTGGATAAAGTTTGCAGATTTAGTCTCTGGTGCAGAGCTTCATATAGTTTAACTCCTTATGAAAAAATTTATGATTAATGTAGCGAAAGGAATCATCTCTGTATAAGGTACCCTCTATTCTTGTGGTATGTATTTCGTAGTGAGGGTTCCAAATAGATTAGATATTTTAAGTGTGACCTGACAGACTGCAATAGAGATTTTGAGAGCACGAATTGAGTTAAAATCTTGAGCATTTCGTTTTAGGAACTCTAAGGGATTTATTTACTATGAAAGTGATATGGACAGGGTAGGATAGTTCTGGGTCAAAAACTATGCCAAGATCAGTTATTGTTTCAACTATCAAAAGAAAAGTGCATTTCCGTCAATGGTGTAATTAAATTAGAGCTTTTGTGAGAATCATTGGCTTACATTTTGATACCTACATTCAACTCCATTTTGCATAAAGCAATTAAAGAGTAGTGGTGCTAGATGGAAACCTTATGCGACTCCTGAGGAAATTATTATTGTATCAGACAAAATTTTTTACTTTTACAATCTGGGTACGTCCAGTCATGTCACTCTCAATCCAGTCAAGCATGAAACCCGAAATTCCCATTAATTTAGGTTAGTGGATTAAGATAATGTGAGGTACTTTATCGAAGGCCTTTGCAAAGTCTGTACTTCTAATTCATTTTCAAAGGTTTCTATAATATTTGATGAGTGTGACAACAGATTTAGTTCCGTATATCGGCCAGCACATAATCCAAACTGGTTATTTAATATCAAAGGTGATAGTACTGGTGTTACAGTAATTTGTTAGGTACTAATTTTCCAAATATCTTGGGAATTGTGCTCATAATACTGATTGGCCTGTAATTCTTCACGTCTCCACTATCTCCAAACTTGAAGATGGTAGCGACATAACTAGATTTCCAGACGTCTGGAAAGTGACCAGAGCTTAGAGACTTGTTAAAGGTCTGGCAAGTATAAAAGGGCAATTTTTAAGTAGAATACTAATAGGGTGAATTTTATCCGGACCAGGACCCTTGAAAGTATTTAAATTGAATTGCTCAGAGTATATGTCAGATATCGAAATAGCACAAGATGGTATATTAATATCTATTATTTGTAATTCAATCTATATATATAAAAATTAATGCCACTTTCCGTTGTAATTTTATAACTCAAGAACGGGCTCATCTAGCCAAACCAAATGTTTAGGCTTTGTTCGGACTATTTATTAGATGGTTTATGTGAAGTTTGCACAAAATCGGCCGAGCGGTTCTTCATTTATCACATTTTTGTAATAAATGAATTATTCAATAAATGGAGGATCATTTCGTTAATGGGGATTTTGCTGTCAAATTGAAACTTTTTCCAGCGTTGACAGTACCAGCATGTTGTTATGTCATTAATGTGGTCATTTCATTACTTATTTTATTTATTTATGAAAAAATTTACTAAGCCCGCATCTCTTATTCAGGGTGTCACGAAAGGTTTGTTACAAACTTCTAGGGATGGTAGATCTCGTAAAAATAAAACTTTTTTCTTGATAAACATGTGTCCGGAAATGCTTCGTTCTCCAGATATACAGGGTGGCCCAAATTTGCGAGCCTCATCATCATTGGGATCTCGGTAACCGTAAGAGATACGGGGTCGGTTAAATTATGGCAAAATTGCGCAATTTTATGACCAATAGAATACCGTTTTGAAACTAGAAAGATTCCGAATACTTCCGGAGATATTCTTTTGAAATTTTGAAAAATCGTTTTTTTTTTCCCGGGCTTATTTGAAAAGCAATTTTAAAATAAATGTCACTTCATCATTGTCACTTCTTCCCCTTTAGAAGATGGTGATACGAAATTTGAAATTCGACGTTTCGTCTTCAGGCGGCCATCCTTAACTTACGTTTTTTAAATACGAACCTAATAGATTTTTTATTTGCGATTTTGTCATCTTTGGGCATCCTAAAACCGATACTGTTTATAATTTTTCAATAACACGGTAAAAAAGCAGGTAGATTGGTTTCAGCAAGCATAAATCGTAGTCATTTGCTGGAGAGTTGCAAGTAAGTGATGTCAACTTTGTTCTTAATCCTTGAACATTCTGGTAATGTATGTGAATTATTTTTATTGATTTTATTGCTGTAGGCTTATGTTCGTCTTCTACTAGTTTTCCTCATCTCTATCAGAGATTATTTTAGGAATGCTCTTAATATTGGTATTTAATTTTAAGGGATAATTTACCCTTTAACTTTCGTTGTTTTTATTCTGAGCGTATTTTGTTTTCAATTTGTAGCTGCTTTGCAGTCAGATCAAGGTTCATGTAAATTATTTTCTTTGAGCTAACTATGGCGGCGTATAAGCGAATGCACGCATCATTCACAGATTTTAGGATAATTCTTACTGCTCGAGCACCTTTGATATTTTTTCCCAACTCTGGAGAAGCATTCTTAAAGTTGGAGGTGAGTTGGTTAAGCCGCCAAGCAGGGTTGCTATATCATTCTCATCGTCGTTTCTTTCAGGCACATTGAATAGCATGAAATTGTGTTCCCTGGTTTGACGCTCTTGAATTTCTTGCCGAAAAGTCTCAGTGTCAGCCGGGTTTGAATAAACGCAGGACATGTTAATGTTGCTTGAGGAACTTGATGTAAGCACGGCAATTTTTTGCTCTAATATTTTAGTGAAGTCACTAGATTCTGCTCTAGAGTTTATTTAAATGCATCGCGGCACTCGTCGCAGAAGTACATTAAAACACGCTTCTGAAGAACAACAGCTCTTATTTCGGATGCAGACAGCTGACTGCATTCTTTGTCGAGGTGGGTTACACAGCGGAAGCTATCGCAAGCAGCATAATCACTTTCAGTAAGGTCCATTTAACTGTCGGACATTGGTAGACCCTATTCGAGGCAAAAGCTGCAGAAATTGTTTCTCCATCTCCGGCATTAGCTTAATCGATTTTTCAGTATATCAATATTACCCGAGCCCCACTTGACGATTCTACCAGCTGAGTCAGTCTTTTGGTTGGCTCTAATATTTTCTAGGATACTTGGTATAGCAGGAAAATGATTCCTGGTTCTTACACTTTCATACACTTGGCGCATATATAGGTTTTCGAATCTTTATCTAACAGGCATTTTCTTGTCAAGTCATATTTGGACTGCGCTAATATAGTTAAATAACATATCTAAAAAACATCATGTCTTATTTGTTCCAGATGACTCACATACAAAGATAAACCCCCAAGAAATGGCTGAGAATGTAAGAGTAATAGTAAGATGTCGGCCTTCGAACAAGCGGGAGTTGGCGACCAATTGTAAAAGTGTAGTGAACATCCAAAATCCAGTAGTAGAGACATGGGATCCTGGAGAAGGGCCATCGTTTCCGAAAACATTCACTTTCGATTCGACTTATGACCAAAACTCAAACACTGAAGTTATTTACAATGATATTTGTTATCCTTTAGTTGAAGTAAGGAATTTGTTACAATAATTCAAATTCTATATTGTTTCATTTTTTCTAGAGTGTTTTAGAAGGTTACAATGCGACAATATTTGTTTACGGGCAAACAGGGTGCGGCAAGTCTTTTACAATGGAAGGAATTAAAGGTCCAGATCCTACTCAAAAAGGCGTTATTTCCAGAGCTTTTGAACACGTATTTGAAGCGATATCCGTTACTAGTGGAGTAAAGTATTTGGCTTTGGTTAGCTATTTGGAAATTTATAATGAACAAATTAGGTAAGCATTTTCAGTAATCGGGTCGAAAAAAAAATCGATTTTATATCGTTTTGATAGAAATGTGAAATGCAATTATTGCCTATAAATTTTTAAGTTACCGTTGGGAAATAAGTAATCGATTATTTGACAACTTGATATGTTATGTATCGATTTTATGATTAGGGACAATGTTTTGAATGGTAATAATTTATTAGACAAGTTTATTTAGCAATTTATGCATCAAATTTTGATTTCTAGTAAGGTAACCTTATTCCAAACTATTCTTATAACTTAATTTTGTGCCATATTTCATCATAAGTAAACGTTGTTCACGAGTTTATTTGTGCCTCTAATCGATTTAACGTAATACCCAATATATGAAACCAAATGTGAAATCAATGCTGATAACAATTTTACTAGAGTTAGTTAAAAGGTCTGAAATTTAAATTTCCAGAGATTTACTAGTGCCAAATGACAAAATGGCTAACAGCGGTACACTTAGCTTGAAAGAAACCCCAACCGAAGGTGTCACAGTACCTGGTAACTAATGAGCATCAACCTAATTAACCAGATCACCTCTATACAAAGTATTTAAATTTATAGGTTTGACCCTCCATCCAGTCCACAATGCTCAAGAAGCGGAACATTACTTAAACATGGGTTCAAAAAATCGTGTGATCGGTGCTACGCTAATGAACCAAAACAGCTCGAGAAGTCACAGTATCTTCACAATAAGCATAGAACAAATAAACAATGTCAATAATAACCAAAGCATAAAAAAAGGAAAATTGAATTTGGTAGATTTGGCAGGTTCGGAAAGACAAACTAAAACTGGGGCCACTGGAGATAGACTCAAAGAAGCTACAAAAATTAATTTATCATTGAGTGCTCTAGGAAATGTAATATCAGCTTTAGTTGACGGAAAAGCTAAGCATATACCTTATAGGGATTCAAAGCTTACAAGATTACTACAGGATTCATTAGGAGGAAACACTCGTACTTTGATGATAGCTTGCATAAGTCCCGCTGATAGAGATTACATGGAAACTTTATCAACTCTAAGATATGCTAATAGAGCCAAAAATATAAGTAATAAACCCAAAGTTAATGAAGTATGTTATAGTTTTGCAGAATACTCCAGTGTAGTGATTATAAAATTTTAATTTTAGGATCCAAAAGACACAATTCTTAGGAAGTATCAAGAAGAAATTGAACGCCTAAAGTCATTGCTAACAAGTCAAAGTGAGCCTGATGGTTTGAGGGTAGTGGATTTAACAGGTGTTGGAGATGAAATTGAGATCAACAAAAATGTACGTTCGAGAAATGTCGAGCTAGATGCAAAAAGAGACAAATTGTTGCAAGAATATCAAAGTGAAATGGAAAAGCTGAGAAATTTACATGAAAGGTAAATTTTATTTTACAGAGCGATTTAGGCTAAGAGTTAATTTTTCAGCGAAAAGAACGAAAAGGAAACTGTTTTAAAGCAAATACAAGTAATTAAAGATGAATATGAGAAAAACATTAAAAAACTCAATGAGGAAATTAATATAAATCATATCAAAGAGGTAACTTCCAAAGAAGAAGTAATGAAACGTATAGAAGAACTAAAGAAAGTTCTTATTGGAGGAGAGAAAGCCAATGATAAAGAGCTCTCAGAAAGAAGGCTGAGAAAAAAGATTGAAGCAGAAAAAAGGGCAACGTAAGTGAATAATTTTCAATGAACTTCAATGCCTTATATTTATTTTCTAGTTTGATTGCTCATCTACTAGCCAAAATCGATATGAACGAGGACAGAGAACTTTTACAAAATCAATACAAAGACATCAGTCAAGAATTAAACTTAAAAACAGAAATATTAAGAAGATATCGGCACAAAGTAAAAACATTAGAAAAAGAAATAAAAGATATTCAAAGCGAATTTCAACAAGAACGAGACGACTATCTTGAAACTGTCAGAAGAGAAGAAAAAAATGTTAAGCTGTTGAGTCAAATTAATGAAAAATTGATTGGAACTTTGAAGAAAGATTGTAATTATAGGTAAGAATTGCAATAGAGGTTTTATAAAGTAAAATATGTCAACTTTGTAGTGACTTAGAGGCAATTAAAGAACAGGCTATATGGCTTGAAGATAGTCAAAAATATAAATTGCCCGACTTAACTATACCAAGGACCAAACTACCCCCTGCTGGTAAGTCAAATTTCTATTGTTTTTTCAAAAAATCATTAACGCATCTAAAATAAACAGGAAGATTTTCGGACATACAAACCGCCCCTGCCAGGCTCAATAGTGAAATTTCATTGAGCAGGCAAAATTCTGTAGATCAGGTGAAAATTAAACATTCAAAAAAGGCTGCAATTATGCTTTAAATGCCTGCGCCTACAATATTTATTATTCAACGTCGTCTTTATTTTTTTTTTTTTGCACGCTGCTTTATTTTGCACAGGACAGAATCATGATCGAAAAAAATCAAGAAATGTCTACCATATTATTGAGGTAAATTATCTAAGCACATTTTACACTTCTGATTTTTCACAGCAGCACAGTCACAGTTTAAAGTTTATTATTCCTGATTTGAAAATATATGTTCGATCTAAAATGGATTATTTTTGTATAGGAAACCACTAAGTCTGACACCCAAGATTTGATATCTAGCTACTTTCAACCAGCTACAAAACGAGCCACAGAACTACTCAGCCAATCTAATGGTACATTAGATACACACAAAGTTTTCAATACGTGGAGAGGTAAGCTTATATCGAAAAGTGTTTATTAATTTTGGATGGGTATTAGACGTAAGAAAAAAGGTGCAACGCATTTTCCAGATTTTGCCAAGAAAAGCAGCAAAACTCGATCCAACGAAAATGTAACTTTAGATTCGCCCAAAAGTTTTACTGGGTCCAATTTAAAAGGATTTCATTGGTTAACATCTGCAGCAGGTATACACTTTAGGCCAAGATTTTAAGTTTCTGGTAATGATTTTTTTTATAGGATCTCCATTTAATACAGACAACTTAAAGAAACCTTTTCGCCTGGAAGCATTGCCAGACATAGGAAAAAGAAGTGGCAGGAAGGGACATCTCAATACCATGGAACTTCTTTAGTTTTTGTGTTTTGGGACTACACGTACCTATTTAAAAAAAAAATATTATAAATAAAATACCTACCTAGAAAATTTGTTAAAAATAAATAAATATTATAAAATTTGTTACAGTTTAAAATAGATTTTATTAAAATGTATTTTGTAGTTAAGATGTGTGATATTTTCTTATACCTAAATATATAATTTATTTTAAGATAATTGTTTTTTTCTACGAGCGTGCGGATAAGTGTACTTTTCCTCACGCATTGTAGGTCATGAAAGTACTACTTTTCCGCACTAGTGCTTGTCCGCTACTTTTCCGCACTGATTGCGGAAACGTAGAATACCTGAAATTTTCAGGTATACAGGTACTTAGGTACAGGTATACAGGTAGGTATACTACTGGTACAGGTAGTATTATTTGGTATATCCTTCATGAGGGTTGTCAGTTATTTTCCACTTGAACTTTTTTTTTAAACCAAGTCCAAACCTTAAGTATCCCATTTTAGGTACACTTCCCCTACAGGTATACAGGTAGGTATACTACAGGTACAGGTACAGGGTACAGGTACGAAAAAGTAAAAAAAAAAAATATCTTAAGGCCGCGTTAATGGCCGCCATGTTTAAACTGTGATTGGTTGATTTTTCGAAACTTGTTTTAAGGTCTTTAAAAAAACGGCACGTCAGAATTGGCTCAAATTTGGCATAAACATTATTTGATCGATTATCTACAATTCCTTATTTTGGTTTTTCGATATTCAGCCTATTTTTTTTAATTCAAAAATCATGTCCGCAACGACCAAAACAATTAAATGTGTTGGTGGTTGCATATTTGCATGTTTGTCAAGCTAGGATCCGTGAAAAGCATATTTTATTGATAACCACGAAAAACTAAAAGAAGCTAATTGTAGAGATTGTAGATAATAAATCAAATAATGTTTATGCCAAAGGATTTTGGAAATTATTGCGGATTTTTTGAGATGACCTTAGAACGAATTTTGAAGGTGAAAACAGTTCAAGCAATTTCAAGTAGATGGCGCCACGGCAAAAAAGCTAAATGGTTTCACCGACAAACAGATTTTGTTTTGGACAAATAATAAAATATTGAACCCTATGTGTAGAGTGACGCAGTCGTCATTTTCAAAAACTAAATTTAAACATGGCGGCCATTAACGCGGCCTTAAATTGATAAATATGTAGGTAAAAATATTAACTTTCATCTCGTAGAAAAAATAGTCTTCCTAACTCGTGCGGAAAGTCTCTTTTCCGCACTTGTTAGGAAATATACTATTTTCTTGATAGTGGGATTAGAAATGACATTAAAAAAAAAACAAATGTGTCCATTTTTACTGTATCTATATATTATGTGTGAGCTTATTTTCTGAAGTCCTGCCAAAGGAAAAATTACCACCAAGAAATTTCCATATACCTATTATAGGAGAGCCCTATGATTTCTTGACAATTATTGTCATCAAGACTGCCATAGCAACACAGAGAATTTCTGATTTTGGAAAAATTGCAGAAACCCAAAAAAAAATTGGAGACTGCACTCAAATTACTGAGGCCAGATTCTAGTCCAGGAGAGGAGAAGATGAAATCCGTGCCATTTTCCCGAACCAGTGTGCTGCAGTTCTGTCACATCCCCTGTCAGCATTGATGAACAATCTTCTTAGGCAGGGCAAACTACCAAGGGAATGGAAGAATGCAATTGTAGTGCCTATTTACAAAAAAGACAACAAACACCTGCCTAAAAACTATAGGCACATTAGGTCAACAAGCACCCTTTGCAAATGCACGGAGAAAGCCCTGGCATCTGAGACAACTCGATTTTGGCAAATGGAATCATACCACCTTCCTGGGTCACTTATTCTTGAAACAGGGGAATAGCGTTCCCAGGAGAACGAGTGTTCTGTCTTAGTTACTTATATTATCAGTTGCATATCATTGAGAAAGACGCAAGAAACGTTCTCCTGAGAACGCTGCTCCCCTGTTTCAAGAATAAGGACCCTAGAATGTTCACGAACCTGCTCACTAAGGTTCATGACTGGATAAGGGCAGATGATTCTGGCCTGTCCGTTGATGTATTTCACCTGGATTTTGAAAAAACTTTTGACAAGGTACCATTTGGGCGGCTTCTTCATAAACTCCATCACTGTGGTATAAGAGAACTTCTACTTAGCCTAATCCAGGATCGACAGTTCTGTGTCAGGATAGGGTCCATGAAGTCCATTCCTGTGAAATTTTTAGTGATTGATGTTCCCCAAGGCTCAGTCCTTGGCACTCTAATCTTCCTTGTAAATATTAGTGTCCTACCAGATGGATTTAGAGAGAGTCAGATGTCATCATTTGCGGATGATACCTGTTGTTCTTGTAATCCTTTAACGCAGAAAAGAAGCCTCCAGGGGGACAAACAGTGGACAACCACCTAGCAAATGCCACTGAATGATTCCAAGTGTTCAATTCTCCACCTGGGCAAAAACATCCCATGAATGCAATACTTCATTGAGTCTACTCAGGTAATTTGTGTTGCTGAACAAAATTGGGAATTGTTGTCATTAAAGACATGAAGTGGGAAAACCCTATCAATGGCATCATAAAGAAGTCAAACTCCCATCATGTACCGTACCTGATTTCCAAGGCATTTCATTTGAAAATCCCACACCCCAAATATCTGTAAAACTGTACAAGGCTTACATAAGACCCACGCTGGACTATGCCCAAAGCATATGGAGTCCTTATTATGTCAAGGAAATTGAAGCACTTGAAAAAGTCCAACGCAGAGCAACAAAAATTCCCCTAGCTCTTCATGACCTTCCATACCAACAAAGGTTGCAGAGGCTGAACCTCCCTACACTTTTATGTTTAAAAAAAACTGGACAGTGAAATGGACAAGATCATTTGTGCACTATACCAATTATTTGACAAATATAACACAAGTAAAATTGAATGAAACGTATAGTGACGAGTTAACTTTACAGATTGGTATACCACAAGGAACCATTTTGAGACCACTTTGGTTCGAGGTTTTTGTCAATGATCTACTGAGTTTGGTTTCTACTGGTGCTCAGGTCATAATGGTCATATCATAATATGCGGATGACACGGCAGTGATCATGGCAGAGGACACATGGCTGGGTCTAGAAACCAGGGCCAACAATATTATTAATGGTATTGCCAATTGGTTAAGACGAAATGGTTTATCTCTGAACATTGGAAAGACAAAGTATATTTTATTTAGCACTTATAAAGATAGAGTACCAGATTCGCTTGAAATTGTCATTCGGGACTGCACTTATAGATTGTAATGTAACTGTAGTGAGTTGACAAAAGCAGAGTTTATAAAATACCTTGGTATTTGTGTAGATAGTAATATGAAATTTAAAGAACATACTTATTGGTCAATTGAATAAAACATCGAGATATCTGTATTTATATTTACAAATTTGAGGAATACAGAGATTCTATTTGTATTACCTACCTCCTACCTCAAAGCAGTGACAATAAATAACTACAATAGTTTAAAGTGGGAATACCTAAATAGAAACCCGATCACTAGGAAAAAAAACATTCCAGTCATTAAAACTAAATTGGAAGTGGGCAAAAGATGTACAAAATGGATTGCCATAAAAATATTTAAATTGCAAATTGTCTATGGGCTTATAGACATTTATAGATTTGCTTACAGATGTGCACAGAATTGACGTATTAGTTTTAAATTAGTTTTTTAGTTTTAAGATATGGTAATCATTGTGGTGAACTTTGTTTTCACGCGCTACGCCTGCAAACAGGACATTTACGTTCTCAGCAGGGCATACAAATTCCAAAGAATTATAGAATCATAATATAGTGTATTGTCTGGCTAGCCAAACGGCGAACTGCAAAAGAATTTGCTGCTTTGCCAAACTTGACGGAAACAGTAATAAACAAGTTGGTGACATATTTTTTTTTCTATATGGGCATGTGTGATATTTTGAAATAGAAAAAAATCCGGCTACATTTCGAAATGATGGATGTGGAGAGGCGTGATAATAGAACATTAGTTGTATTCCTTTCAAGAGTATGAAACACTCGAGCTAAGTACTCGCTTCGGTGTTTAGTCGCCTCCGATTTGCAGGGAACAGAATGCGTTGTGCAACAAACACTTTTCGAAAGGAATAAGCGCGTGAAGCCCCGGAGCTGTTCCGGAGCTCCTCCCAGGTGTGAAAGGAATACAACTATTCACTGGATTCATCCGGTCCACTTTTTGTTTTAGTTCGTGACTACACCGCTGTGCGCCCATATCGCCGTTCCTTAACGCCCCCCTCGTTTTTATTATAATCTGTGACTTCACCGATGAGTTAGCTATCTTTGTTTAGTGAAGAGAAAATGACAATGACCGACATAGAATGGTGGATGTGGATATAAAAACCAGTCATAAAAACGCATCGTCGTTGAGTGTTGAGTTTCTTCTTTTGAATTGTAAATTTGTGAAAGAAGTGATAAAGTGCATCACAAGCAGCTGGTTGAAGCAGTTATTGCCGCAATATGTGACCAGGCGCAAAAAATTAATCGGCCATAAGCGAATTGCAGCGATAGACCATAGAAATCTACATCAAAAACAACACAGAAACAGAAATGTTGTTTTTTTTTGGAGATAAACAACCTAGAAATCGTAATCGTGCCGCACTGTATGATGCTCCACACGTGCTCAAGGGAATTAGAAATAACTTGATCAAATATGACGGCCATTCAAATAGGAAAATGGACATTTTCAAAAAGCAGATTGGAAGTAGTGTTCCAATCAGCTCCATGAGTCAGATACGCCAGATCATCTAGATTATAGACTATTTTATTCATTAAGTGATTCTCACAAAAATATATGAAAATAAAATTAATAAAATTTTAGTTTGAATTTTCGGAGCACTCCTTTATTTTGAAAAAATTGAAATGTCAAACCAGTCATTTAAAACTGAGATTCAAACGGCCCGCCAAATATTAGTTCAATGACTACACCGCTATGGTATAGCACCGTCGGAAATGTCACTTGGCGACTACAACAGAAGTGAGCGTTCTATATCAACAATATAAATCACTTTTCTATGGGCGTGATTATTCAGAGGCATGATTCTATTGGTTAGAGCCTGAACGACAGCACAGTGGCGTGGTTATTGGCGAAATTTTAAAAAAAAATCTAATAATTTTATTGGTTCATTTCCTTATTGGTGTTTTCGGTGC